GTCGAGAGTGTCGGTGATTGCGGCTTGCATGGCGCCCGAGAGCATTTGGCCGACCGCTTGGCAGGAGTGGTAGAATCCCATTCGCTTGGCGAGTTCGGTTGGGGTATACCAGTACACTAAAGAGTCGGTTAATTCGGCGTGTCCGGGGAAAGACTTTCGAATGACATACTAAATAATGTCATCATTCCTGGCCAAGCGCTACTTTCGCATAGACCGAGAAACACACGAATAACGTAGACTTGTTTTGCGCTCGTCGTCATCGCGATCAATCCCGTCAGAACACCCCATGCAATCTCCAAGCCCGGGAGCCAATAACTTGGGCGTATGTAGGTGAGGATAATTTGGGAGGGAATTAGCATTATGCAGTATGCGACGTTAAAATATGTTGTGAATCTAGACAGTATTAGCTATCACCAACTCTTGCCGCATGGAAATGTTTCGGATAACTCACAAGTTAAGCTCATTTCCGAGCAAGTTTAAATCTTCCTTCATGCCAGATACGTAGGCATTGTTGATATTCTGTTGATCGAGATATTTGATAACTGACAGGTGTCAGTTTTGCTGATCTCAAGCTTTGAGAGAACTCTGTAGCGCAACCCACCCTGTGAAAGACAGCCGAATGTCATTAGGAACATGTCAAGGCGCCGGACCAAAGCCTTCTCTTCCGGAGATCGGATATCGACGTCTGTCGACGCATTACGTCGAAACATTTTGAAGGACACCATGGTTATAGTGGCATGAAAGGGAGAGAAAAATCCAACATTCTAGCGACCTTGGCCATTCATATACAGGCGCATGTAGGCCCGAGCCGTGATAAGGCCCCTGTGACCCCTCACAGATAAGTTAAATAATGTGTCCGGGGTAGACCTCAGATTGTAGATCCGAACGATATTTCTGCAAGGTGCACGCGTGATAAGCATTTAAAGCACCAATGATTGGATTCCTCTATTGGGGTAACATCGGAGGAATGCCCGAGTCGAGTTGCTGAGAATCATATAAGATACCAGCCATCTCTTGGCGTTTTAGCCAACTCCACTCACCTACACCCCGAGGTTAGCTTAACGAGTGGATCTAGTGATAAGTTGACGTGATCCTATCAGCTAACGGGCTGAGGGGGAAAAATCCCTTTGGGTTGGAAAGATTTGAGGGGCGAAGTCGGCGATAGGAGATTCTTAGGCTTTCCCCGCATCCCTGGACAACGGTGAATACGAGACTGTCTCTTTCTCCAACTTATATATATATATATATATACATATATTCATGGGGATTGGCCGAAACCTTGACTAATTGCAAATCCTTTGAAATGTTAACTTCAAATATTAAAACAAGCAGAAGCTTACCAAATCCCACCCCTTGTTTGAGTTACTGGCAGCGAACAACCCGGGCGAATCCAAACTTGCATGCGAACAACGAAACAACTGTCCCATCGAACTCCAAATATGTTGTTGTCGGATCCGGTATTTCTGGCGGTTTGACGGCCTTCAAGCTAATTGAAGGAGGGGCCAAAGCCGAGGATATCGTCATTCTTGAGGCACGAGAAGCAGCGAGCGGTGCGAGTTCACGAAATGCCGGACATGTGCGACCAGGTCTGTTCGACATTTATTGGGGATATTGTGGGCATTTCTGATTCGGAAAATAGATGCCTTTAGAGGGTTCAGTGCATATGCCAAAGTGCATGGGGAGCAACAAGCATTAAAGATCATCCAAGATGAGCGACTTGTCCTCGAAAAGGTCGATGAATTCGTCAAAGAGCATAATGTGGAATGCGACTTCAACTTGACAACGACATTTGATGTTTGCATGACCCCAGAATTTGCAGCTTACGAGGCCGAGAGCTTTGAAGCGTTCAAGAAAGCAGGCGGCGATACTTCCCATATCACATTCTATGAAGGAGACCAGGCCAAAGAGAAAACTAGAGTCCCAGGAGCTGTGGCAGCATATGAGTGGCCAGCAGGATCAAGCCACCCGGCAAAGCTTGCACAATTTCTGCTTCAGGCAGTGATATCGAAAGGTGCAAAGCTCTTCACGTTTTGTCCTGCCACTGAGATTGAACGGAGTGGTGCGTCCCCAGAAACCTGGAAGGTGCACACCCCCCGGGGAATAATTGAAGCAGAGAAAATTATCCATTGCACGAATGCCCATGCTGCCTTGTTATTGCCACAATTGGAGGCTTATATTCGACCAAACCGTGCACAAGCTCATTCTCTCGTGCCTGTGCCCGCTTTTTCGGGGCAAAAAGCTCTGCAGAGCACTTTTTCGCTCCGCTTCAGCCTCCTGCACTTCTACTCTCTGATCCAACGCAAGGGAGATGGTACATTGGTGTTGGGTGTATCGCGATCAAACCCAACAATGAGCCCTGAGACATCGGCTAGTCGATTCAGCACTGACGATTCCCGGTATAACGAAGAGATTGCCCAGGACGCTCTGCGGACCTTTGGTGACATTTTCCCTGCTTATTCGTCCCAGACTGCCATGCACGGTGAGGGTCTGGATCACGCTTGGACTGGAATAATTGCCATGACTACAGACTCTGTTCCGTTCGTCGGGGCGATTAATTCTTTACCTGGGCAGTATATTTGTGCTGGATTTAATGGTCACGGTGAGTTTCTTCTTTGCTCGATTACATCCAGAAGGAGTTCCTGCTGACTGGCAATAGGCATGGCCCGGATATTTACGTGCGCCCCGGCTGTCGCTCAGCTTGTACTTGGCAAGACCTGGGATGAGACAGGGCTTCCGGATTGTTTCCAATTCAGCGATGAAAGGCTCTCCCGGCTTTCAAATGGAGATTTGCCTTCCATTTGGTAGGCAAGTCCATACTACCGGGGGATAATTTGAAATTTGAGTTATAAAGAGATGTCTACTAAGCTTCACGGGATTGATTGGTTGATTGGCATTTTATGGATATTGACGGAATGACCACTTGTGCGATATTTGCCTCGCAAAAGGTGGCTTCTTTTGAGCATTCATGGGGTCAATGTTTGCTTTCTTCCCTTTTGTTTCTATTTTGTATATTGGATTAATCTTGCAGTTTACCATATATATGCAGAGGAGTCCCACGTTCTATAGATGAGAATGAATTATTACCTACACAGGGGGCGCTGCCCATGTCAAGCTAGTTCGTGTCACATTGAAGCGAGGCCTCTAGAATTTTTGCGTTTCCTACCACTTCTTTTTCCTTTTGCGTTCACTTTCCCTCCATCTATATCTACTATCTGTCATCTTTCATACCACTTCCAGCCCAACATACTCCCTCTCCCACCAGAGCTAATTAATCAGATATGCGACTACCTAGCATTTGATGGCTCTATAGCTTTGCAATAACGAGCCAAAAATGCCTTGCCTTTGCTAACAGGCGTGGTTTCCGACAGCTTGATTTGATCGTTGTGAGCCACGAAACTCAGCGAACCATCTGCATTTTCATCTTTTCGTTCAGTGACAGTTCAGGGAACCTTACTTCCAGCCAATAAATACCAGAGGGGCAAGGTACCGAAATCTTCAAATATCCACCAAGAAGAAAGTGATGGATGATTTGAGTTACTCGTTAGCTACTACCGTCAAGCAACATGACATGGAAAGGCAAGAGTCCTTTTTGAACTCGTTAGACTATCCAAAATCAGCACCTGAGCTTTCACTGGAGACGCTTGGAACAGGCCGCTGTATTCTAGTCGCCCAGCACAAGCCGTAATTTTCACAAAGTTTTGTACTGGGAAATAAGAAAAGATTGGGTCAAATAATAGCCTCTTCCAAATGTATCGAATAAAAATTTAACTATTGGGCCGATATAGCAACAATGTACTCCGTAAAGGTCAATATAAAGGTGATGACTATGAAAATCTTCGTCTAGTGCACTACAGGGATGTTCGGGAATCAAAACAAAGCTTAGTAATGCGGTCTCCTATTCATTTCCAGATTCAAACTTACCCCTTGCTTTTTACACGTTTCCAATTAGGTGTTCTAGATCTTTATCAACTTAAAAAAACATTGAATTGGAAGAAGTATCTCAATATCCCAATATCCCAACCTTGGAAGCTCCTATCAACACAGAGTGGGGGCAACGGACCGTCCCGCAAGGCAAACCCACATCGGGAGCTTTCAAGGTAGTGCCTAGGTACAGTTCACTCCTTGAAATCATATTTGTTCAAATTTGTTCTCTTACACGACATTTGAATGAAACCAACCTGTCCCCATGATTGGCTTACGGTTGACAAGTCGCGTAACAAAGCGCACATTCATTTCGCTACGCACGAAACCTCTCCACCTCCCCCCTACAGATCCTACCTTTGCCATACCCTCTCACGCGGTCGTCGATGAAGAAAGATGCCCGAACTACACCCCCCAAGATTATTACACAGCAAAACCTGGCGAAACACTTGCCGGCAACTACCAGTTGCTAGCAAAGATCGGCTGGGGAACGAGTTCGACTGTATGGCTAGCGCGAGATATCAGAAGGCATGTCTTGTTTCTGCGTCAATTCTGTCCGAGGCTAATTGGAGCTATTGAGTTATCAGATACCGATGGCAGTCCGAGCGGACAGTTGCCTTGAAGATTTTGAATAGTTGTTATGCTCAATCTGCGAGCAATCTTCTCGATATCGAGCAAACGGTTGCACAAAAGAATCCTTCACATCAGGGTTATGGGGTTACACGCCACTGTCTAGAAAGCTTTGAACTCAAAGGCTCGGATACGACACACCTTTGTCTTGTATATGAGGCAATGCGGGAGCCCATGTCAGTGTTTCAGAAACGTTTCGAGAACCGAAGAATGCCTCTGCCGCTTGCGAAGGCGTATATTCATTTGCTTCTTCTCGGGCTGCAGTATATGCATGCCGAGTGCAGACTTATTCATACTGGCAAGTAAAACTCGTCGAATACCAGTAAATTTCTGAGAATTTACTAATCAGCAAAGTCACTCTAGACTTGAAGCTCGCGAATATCCTGATGACTTTTGAGAATGTGAAAGCTATCCCTAGGTTCATTCAAGAACAAGTCCTCAAGTCACCCATGCGCTACAAGAATAATATAGTGACCAACCACACCACCTACCAAAGTTACGACAGTTTCGGGCCAATGGACGTCGAGGATGTCGGAAATGTCCTCCCTAAAATTACCGATTTCGGTTCGGCATGGCAGCTCGTCGTCGACCCAGAAACCAAGTCGCAAAATGAACCCGTTGTTACGTATCCCATACAACCGAACTACTACCGCGCACCGGAGGTTGTCCTTGGATATGGTTGGGATTTCAGCGCAGATATATGGAACTTTGGTGTGCTTGTAAGAAGCTCGAATATAAATGTGCCTATTCATGGCTGTATTCAAGACTAACCAATTTCTTTCAAAGGTTTGGAACATCATCGAAGGCACAGAATTATTCACTCAGGTCGAAGATGCTAACGGTAGATACGATCCCAAATCACATCTGGCGGAAATGATTGCTCTGCTTGGTCCACCGCCTAAGGAGGTAATTGAGCGAGCAGACTATATGTCCCAGGTAGAATATGATTCAACAATTAGCATTGAGTTCGGAAAGCCGTGCAAGAATGCCCGGGAGATCTTTGGCGGCCCTTACTTTGATGAAGAAGGTGAGTCTTTTATTCTAAATACCGACCTGTGTGTGATTTTGGCTGATTGTTGGTGATAGGGAATTTCCTTCATCGGGAACTAATACCAAATCGAAAACTTGAGGACACTATCCCATCTATTGATGACTCGGAAAAGGAGCTTTTCTTGTCATTTGCTAGGGATATGCTCACGTGGGTTCCATCGGAGAGGAAAACTGCCCGTGAGCTGACGAAGCATCCGTTCCTCAATTTCGGTGGGCATGTTTCTAAAGATATCTTGGAAGGGCGCTCTTAGTATGTGAGCTGTTCGATCCTTTTACCCTATGCTGTTTACAGTTTGTCTAACGGCGAGAAGAGAGCTCTCCACTACGTGTAAAATATCCACCATGTACACATTTATTCAAAGAAGGTTCTTTATGCACATAGTCATTGAAATGAAAATATAGGTTAGAATTATAGTACATGCTTCGCTTGTAAATGCAGATTATCTATGAGACAGGCCAAATGTCGGGTTATTTACATATGTACTGGCAACGATCTTGGAGAATGATCCCCAAGAGGAATTCCTAAGGAATTCCGCTGTCCTCGGTTAAGAATGGCGGTATGGGAACACCTAAGAACAGGTCCGCTCCTCTCGCCTTCCTTGATGGGTGCCAGGTTCATGGGGCATTATATTGGGCGAGGCGGGTCACTCTGAGTATCATGTCCGAGACACTGAGATAAGCAATGATCCCTTTTCCAGTACATTTCTCATGTGAGTACGTATGCCCATAGCCCAAGCACGATCCCTTATTATATAGGAATCACAGAGTCAAGGTTGAAGAGATTCATGGCACATATTCATAGCGCCGCCAATTTTCCCCAACCCACCACTTCGCCACGTGGGAAGCGTCTTTGATCCACTGTACAGCATCTTCGCCGTACTTAGGCAAGACCATGTTCATCAGATTCGAAAGATCGAAATCCTGTAGTGCTTCGAGTTCGTGAGGGTCGGTCTCGACATTCGAGAACCGCCATTCGAGGTCAGGGATGACGGGGATGATGAGACGGTAAGGCTTTGCAGCGGATCGCAGGGCAAGCCATGTTCCTCCAGTGTTCATGACTGAGAACTGCCAATCTTGCTTTCCATCTTTTTCTGCGAATGTGGGTCGGATCATTGATTGACCTTCGTACATGGGGAGAAGATCTTGGATAGCGGATTTTGCTTGTTTGTTGAGAGATCCAGATTCCGATAGAATATCGAGAATTGTGGGGAGGATTTGAATTGAAGCTACTCGAGAGTTGATCTCGATGGGCGGTAGCTGGGGGTGGGCAAAGACTAGAGGGACGTGGAAGCTGGCGGTATGGGGGTTGAGATATGGAGTCACGCCGCTGTTCTCAGGGGAGTGAAACACCACTGTCATGGTTAGGTTTAATTTAAGAGAATGAATGTTGGGATCTGGCACTTACTGATCTCCCACCATCACGACCAGGGTCTCGTTGGCAACACCCGTTTCCTCTAGGATGTTCAACAACTCGGCGAGCCATTTGTCTGCAACGCCAAGCGTATTGAGATAGTGATTTACCTTATTGTTCTTTCCCACCCAGCCGTGGCTAATCATTTCCTCGTACTTCTGACCTTTGGGGTTATCCCAAGGTTGATGCGTAATACCAGTCAAGTGCGAGATGAACAGTCGTTCCTTCTGCTTCTCTGCCGATTTAATTGCATTACGAAGGTAACCTGAAAGCTCGGTTTCGGGGTATCCCCAGAAATTGAACTTCTTTGGTTGCTGGCCTCCCTGCTTCGCACGATCCTCGGCAATGTTGATGTCGGTTACTTTGTGCTTAAATCCCAACACGGGTGTGAGAAGGTTTTGGTTGTCATAGTCCTCAGTGATGGCCTGCATCCATGTGGATCGCCACGGCCAAGAGGTATAGTCCTCCGTCTTGGTCAGGTTGGCCTGAGAATTGAGTGCTTCCAGGATATGCGGCATACATGGTTGGTAAACGTGGTGCAGGTATTCGCGATTGAAGTCCACGACCAAGGGAGAGATACCACAGACAGTCGCCAGGATACTCTTCAGGGTAAAGGTACCGCCTGTATAAGCATTGGTAGCATGGAATCCTCCATATGGATTAGGCACATTATTGTTTCCATTGAACCCGGAGGAAGTAGCTGTAAGTCTCTCTGCCGTGGGTGTTAGATTGGCCAGTCTTTCTTCAACCTCAGCGGGGAGGTGGCCATCTTTAAATGTTTCGCGAATCATGTCCCCGAAATAGGATTCCTTGCGAAGTGGGAATACATCTGCACGAGTGCTTTCTAACTTGAGAAGTAACACGTGCTTGATCTTGACACTGCCGCTCTGAAGCGAGTCGCGGAGAGACTCGAGAACCTCATTTTCAAGGTTGGAGATATGGAGAGGATCATGTGCTGGGTCATAATGCACGCGCGCAGTGTGGTTGGCATTTTCATACCAGTCACTGAAACCGGCCAGTTTATTGGGTGGCAGCCAGTCAAATGCGGGCGGTGCTGCTAGGGCAGTGCGATTGCCCAACCAGCTGTAATCACCTGTCAACTCAAGTAGATCGAACGATGAGGGTGCGCGAGACTGATCCTTATCAAACGGTGTGACAATAACAGTCTCAGATAGAAAGTTATAGGCAGAATTTGACGGGCGAATGCAACGCAAAAGAACCGCAAAGCCAGTAAATGTGAGAACAAAGACTCGGACCCAACGAGAATGCCGAGATTCATTCGTTACATTTGCTTGGGTTGTGTTCATTTCCTGCAAGCCCGAGCTCGATTCAACAGCCATTCGATCCTCCTCCCAGTCCTCAGGCGCGACTCGCTCATATCTTTTTAAGATCGGAGAAGCTCGTTTCCTGCGACAGGCGGACGGCAGAACACTCCTAAAGATTGACACAATCCCCTCAGTCCAATTGTATAGATGTGGTGTAGAAAGCCATGATGCGGCAACAAATGCAATCTCGACGATAATTAAACCCGTTAAGCCGGTGAGCATCGTTTTGACGGCGGCCTTGTCGCCGTGGAAGTTGTGCGCTTGTTTCCAGTGGATTTCGGCTCCGGTTGCGACGTAGAAAGAGATATTGGCGGCTGACAGACCGGACATTGCCAAACTATGGAAGAAATTCACTTTAGCGACGGTCTCACTCAACTCCATGCTAGGAACTCGTACCTAGTCGGAACGACCAGCAAGGCCACTATGGCACGTGCCCAACGGTGCTGGTAATCAGCACACAGGCTGTGGGTTAGGAAGATACAAACTACATCTTGTAAAAAGAATGTGGGGCCCCAGACGATTAATTGTCCGAGAGGTAATGAGTTCAGATGCGAGTAAATGTGAAGAATTTTGGCGCAGATGACGGCGATGAACAACAGAGAGAACCAATACTTGCGTGAGGCTGGCCAGCAATGATCGAACCAAAATGTTGGGGAGAAAGCTCTGCGTAGTAGATTGCGTGAGCCATCTCGGGCCATAAAGCCCAAACCCATGTTTTTTTTTGGTTTTAGTATGTGGCAATCTCCGGCATGACAGTGTGAAGGAAAGATTAAGATGGTCTGAATATAAGAAAGGGTAAGGAATGAATGGATGGTAAGTAAAAAGAATACGAGGGAGAAGAAGAGATGAAACAGAGAAGACAAGAGACAGAGGGGAGAAGAGAAGAGACAAAGAAGAGACAGAAAAGAGACAGAGAAGAAATTCAAGCCAATCGAAAGGCAAGGGGAAATATTAAAAAATAAAAACCTTGGAAGGTACTCAGCTCATAAAATCCCCCAAATCAAAAGCAGATACATCCGAATGTCCGACAATTACTGGCGGAATTACTGGCGCAATTACTGGCTTCTTCTAAAGTTCTTCAGGGTCCACAGGTTTCACCCCGATGTTTAGGGGTTCACCCTTTTACCTACTTAGGTACCTTTTCGTAAAATGGACCAATCGCATCTCATCTAGCGAAGCTTAAATGACCCTGAGATCTGTGGATATGAGTTAGGCAACATTCAAAATATAAGTAAATAGCGCACTCTGTATGTTTGTACCTTTGTACCTAAGATACACCTTCTTCTCACTTTCTCGGTATGAGATTAACCACTCGCCTCGTATAGCCTGACATGGATTCAAATGACACAATGTCAACTCGCTTACAGGCTCCATACAGGAGGCTGACCTCCAGCCAAAATAGTGGGGCTTCAATTTGGAGGCGTTGTCAGGGCTATACATGACCCTGTTGGTTTTGATGTGGGAAAATCACTAGTTACATAAGTAGCACATGTAACCTTGGAACTAACCAGCATAGCTATGTTGTCCCCATAGTATACACTGAAGGCTGATAGAAGTGAAAGGGTATGCATGCCAACCCACAACGGTCTTAGACCCCGGGACCCGCGGCTTCCGTGCCGCTCTGTAGCATGTAGAACCCTGGATTGTGAAAATTGTGAATATCTCAAGGCCCCTATATATAAGTACTAGAGTGGAGTCTCCTTTGGATATCTTCAATCGTGTGTTAAAGATCCTTCTCGTACTTGCAATAAATATTCTTCAACAATGCCAAGCAAACTAGGATTATTAAGGTTGCCAAGTGTTTATCGCGTGAAATAGTGGATTTTGCAGGGATTGATTGCTAGGGCCTAATAATCACCTATGGAGTACTCCATTGTACTATTCTGTAGAAGCATCTGTGGTAAGATAAAGAGGATGCGAGTACGGAGTACTACGTACGATGTTCAATTCTGAGACAATACATTTTTGGAAACCACAGTCGGATGAGGGATGAGGGCATGAACGCCCGAGACCCCACCAATCATAATTATCATCATAAATAGCGTGAATGGAAAAGATGAGGCATTATTTCAACTAGTACCTCCTAATTCCTAATAAGTTGCACTAGTAGTATCGCAATCCATCGACATGCATCCTCGTAATTAATCAGCACATTATTGGACTTCAAGATCTCCTCCATTACTATCCATGGATATATATATACTATAGACACAGTGGTCAATGAATATACACGTGACCACCGCGTAATATTTCCTACCTTGTGAACAATATAGAAGGGTGGTACTAAATCCAAGTCATTGATAATTTTGAAAGCCGAGTCCTGGGATTATTTACACAAGAGTAGTCGGCCACTTATACGGCCTTCTCATGTCTTTTTAGGTGCCCAGGTGTCTACGAAGGTTAAAAAAAAGCATACTTTGTGCAAGATATTTTTCTATATATAGCCCATGATGGCGACCTCGGGATGAGTCCAGTGCGAACAAGGGGGGCTAGTCCCAATTAGGAAGTTCACTAAATTCCAGAAGTTCATCGGACTTTCTGTCGGTCCTGTAGTTACTCCGTACTCCGCGTAGTCTCAGAACAGCCTGGAATCAACTAGGGCTGCTTATTTTAGACTGGCCTGCGGAGTACGGAGTAGAGCTGTACTTTGTACTTTGTAGGCCATACAAGACGCAATCTCTGTTGATCATGTTCGAGCCCCCTTTGATCTATTGGCCTCATGGCAACACTTATATATAAATCATGACCTCTGATTCTATAGGTTTAATCGACATCTTACACTACACCCTCTATACATTATTCCTACCCTTTTACATGTGACGATATATTTTAATCTCGAAAGAGCTAGTTTCATATGGACCATAGTCGCACGCTAGTAACCAAGTTTTGGTGGCCTATGGCCTGATAAACAAGGCCCATATGCATTGCATGATCGGCACATAGTCCCTCGAGGTCTAACTGCCAAACCTCCATAACGCACGTCCCTTTATCCATAATTCTTATACTCTTTCTTGAGAAAGAAACCCACGGTCGCTTTACGGTGTTAATTTAGGATATATATGAGATAAGATGGGTACTATTATCTAGCAATAAATTCATTTTTTTTTCTATTCCCTTTTGGTAAGGCGCAGTACTAAAAGCAAACTTGCGTTGAATCCCGTACTTTCGTAGTCTAGTCTCCTTATCACAGCGGAGGACGGATAGAGACAGTAGAACAAGGCTAGAGAATCTCGGCACACATGCAGCCTTGGCCCACCCCGGTCAAGGTCAATCCAATGATCGCCAACGGGAACCTCCGCATAACGTGGCTAACACTGCACCAACCCCCTTTAGGCTTGAGCCGTGGAGCATGACACCGCGCTTATGTCCCATCACCCAATCCCATCTGTTGAAGCTGCTACAGGATTGCGGCACGAACGGCTGAAAACCGTTGGACATTAGTACCAGTTGGAATTTCAATAGCCCCTTAACCTTCTCCCTTCGCCCTCTTTCCCCATGACCCCGAGGGGCCAGATACCGAATCATGTCGAAATCGAAACATATTGAAGTGGTATGTCAATTCATCGGTTGTTCTCCTTGCGATTCTAACAAACTATAGGATACGGATGTCTACCTGTCAGCCAATTATGCCGACGATTGGCAGTCGTAAATTCTCCCATTTCCCGCGTTGTTTCATGTCATTAATCTCTAACATGACATGTACTATACAGGGAGACTACGTCTATTGGTACCTCAATCTATAATGGCTTGATGGAAAATGGTAGACGGTATGGTTTCATCGTATATTGGCCCACCTGGGGACTCGGCCCATTGCTTACATGTACTTATTACCTGCAGATATCAAACGCTGAGCGACAAGGAATATCTGTATACATGTCATATTATCCAGCATTAAAGAAGCTGCCAACTGATGCTTGAGTCTCACTAGGGTTCCGGCCGATGACCTAGCATTTGAGTCCTATGAAGCTGGGTATGCATGACCAACCTTCTATATGTCATTCTCACTCTTAACACTCTCAGTCATCTACTCGCTCTTGTTTTGGATTCTGAACGAGAGAACCCGCTATTTAGATCGCCTGTCGGCAAGAACCCTACACATGTGCTCGATATTGGAACGGGTAAGGGTAATTGGGCTATGTACGTCAAAAGAGAATCCCCCCCTTGCCCCGTACCTGAAAGAAATTATACCAATATAGCACTTATATTAGTGATGTTGCCGACATGTTCCCATCTGGTGAGTTCCAAGCCCCATATATCGACAAGGTGGTGAACTAAAAGCATACAGCAACTGTCCGGGGAGTCGACCTATTCCCACCTCCCATTAAATGGATGCCACCCAACTGCATTCTTGAAGTCGACAACATCCTAGAAGAATGGACCTGGAAAAACCCACTTGATCTAATCCACATGCGAATCATGACTGGCTCATTTGATCCCGCGGGATGGGATCACGTCTACAAAACCTCCTTCAAGTAAAGCACCCACATGTCCTAACCACATCCATATCCGCAACCATGTGCACTAACATCCGATCTCTCGTAGAAATCTACGACCAGGAGGCTGGATCGAACAATATGAAGGTAGTACATCCATCGAATGCGACGACGATAGCCTGCCGGCAGATAGCATCCTACGAACCTGGGGCCCGACTATGAACGCGTGCGGTGCGCGCGCGGGACTCTCGCTGGATACTCTTGACACCATGCGTGGCATGATAGAGAAGGCTGGGTTTGTGGATATACAGGAGAAGCCATATCAGTGGCCGATTGGGCCGTGGGCTCGAGATCAGAAATATAAAGAGGCGGGCGTGGTGAATTTCCAGCATTGGCTTTCTGGTATGGAGGGATGGTGTATGTGGTTGCTTACCCATTTCGGTGCGCCGAATCCTTGGACTAAGGATGAGGTTACCGTCTATTTGGCCAAGGTTCGTTCGGAGCTTAAGAATCCGAGATATCATATTTATCAGAGAGCGTGAGTTTGACATAACCCTATGGTTTGTTATTGATGGAACTGTTATACTGATTGTTGTTTAGACGACGTGTGTGGGCACGCAAGCCCTTTCCCGGAGAGCTTACGCCTGAGATGACCCCTGAGATGACTCCGATCAAGAGCGAGGTGGAGTGAAAGAAGTGGCAGTGACTATTCTCCTGTGAAGTAAGTTATTGGTTAGCTATCATGAACGGAGGCGGTACTGGAAGGGAAACGAATCAAGATATTTGAAGGTGCCCAAGATGAATATTACCTACGACTTCGGATCCAAGACATACCCTGGCAGAAGACACTACTGTACAATCTGTCAAGTCGGGGAAAACCTAGGTTGCCGGCACTGGATGAGGGTTCTATTTGCATAGGTTGGTATCCTCGTAGTAGTCTAGGGGCGTGCTCTCCATGTTTATCTACAAGGCTAGGATCGTAAGCTTGGTTATATTAAGATCATGTATTTCATTGAGCTATGTCGTAAGCTAGCTTAATTGCGGAAAGAAATAGCTTCCCCTTGCGCTTTTGATCGCATGAAATCATTGCAACTGTCCGGCATTTGAGTTCCATTCCAACAAATTCAGGATTCCAGTTCCAAACTCGCCAACTGCGAGGAAAAGGCTCGCCGAACCCACTCCATGTATGTCTTCCACTTGTGAAGATCACCCGATGCCTCCGCATTGGGGAACGCTTTGCTCAGTTCTCTAGTAATCTTCAAAATGCCGAGTGATGCCTC